GTGGTGAAGGACGAGGTGGCGTTGTCACAGGGTTTGAGAAGTTTGCTGATGGTGGAGAACAGACGCTTGGGGTTGCTGGAGCCAGACTGAATGAGTTGTGAGTAGTAATTAGACCGGGCTGCTTTGAGTGCGTTACTGTACTGCTAGAGATAGTCTTTGTAGATTTGAAGATGGACTGTTAGTGTGGTTTTCTTGTGTTGGCGTTCAAGTTGACGTTTCCTTGATTTCATTTGGCAGAGTTTGGGGGTATACCAAGGGGCGGAGTGTATGAAAGAGACTTTTTTTTGTTTTTGTGGGGGCCAGTTCATTGAGACAGAAGGAGAGGGTGCTGTTATAATAGTCCACAAGTTCAGATGGGTTTTCAGAAAGTGGGGGGGGGGAGACAGACATCTTGCAGGTAATGGAGGCAGTGATCGCTGAAGGTGAGATGGATTTGAGATTTCTGTAGGTTATTGTGCGTTTTTGCTTTTGGGGATGTTGATGTCCATGATGATGGCCAGGTGATCAGAGATGTGGAGATTGAGGCTGGACAGATGATGGATGGTGAGACCAGTGGAGCAGACCAAGTCCAGGATGTGACCACGGCTGTGTGTTGGGAAGTTGATGTGTTAAGAGAAGTTGCAGCAGTGAAGGGTTTCCTTAAATTCAGAGGCATATTTGCAGGTCGGGTCATCAACATGAATGTTAAAATCGCCTAAGAGGAGAACAGATGGGGATATGGCAGAAAGCTGAGTGAGAATGTCAGAGAGGTCGGAGAGAAAGGAGGGGTTTGGCTTCGGGGGACGGTAGATGATGGCTGTGACCAGGGGAGTGGGACCAGAGAGTTTAAAGATCAGGTGTTCAAATGAAGAAGCATCAGGGATGGGGATTATGGTAGCTTTTATTTCCTTTCTGATAATAGCAGCTATACCACCACCCCCCCTTGTGGGCGAGGTTTGTCAATGTATGTGAATCCTGCTGGGGTGATTTCATTTAAAGAAAAATAGTCCAGGGGCTTCCATTTATAATGATTATATGTATAATAATTATAATACAAATAAAAGCAAACATATTAAGAAATAATATATAATAGGTATTCATAATATTAGCAATGATAAAAATAACAAAGCAATAATAATAAAACTAAAATAATATTATTAATAATAATAGCAATAAAAATATATATTTATACAAATAAATAATAATAATAGTTGTGATGATAAAGGATATTAACCAGCACAGAGTCGAGCTGCTGCTTGACGCTCTGCATCTTCAGAGCCAGCCTGGTGGTGAGGATCAGCTGATCCATGGAGTCCTGCAAGGGGGGGGCGGGGGGGGTCCGGGGGTCTGCAGAGGACGACCTGCTGCTGGCCTTCAGACTCTGGCCCTCCAGCTGGGACACTGACAGAGAGACATGGGGGGGGGGACACTTAGGTTAGGGTTGAATGCTATAACACCCCCTGCTGTGAAACACTAATGATGAAGACGTATAAAAGGACGTGATACATTTACAACAAAAAATACAAATATTCTTTTAGACTTTATTCTCATCATTTCTACTTTAACTTCAGTGAGTATTCATGTTTGTTTTGCACATTTTTTAAATGTATCTCTCCTAAATCAAACACATCATCTTTCTGTAATGTTGTTCTCTCTCACGGAATAATCTCAGAAAATATCACAGTTCTTTTTCCAGATCAATTTGTTCTAGTTGACCAGAGGCTGGTTCCTAAAGTGTGTTCTCACCTGTGCGGTCGTGCAGGTAGAGGTGGATCAGCTGTTCCTGTCCGAAGGCACTGAAGGCCACCATGTTTTCGTGGGGGTGAAAGCAGACCCCGTGCAGCGCGGTGGAGAAACTCAGCTCCGAGTACACCGCCAGCTGGTCTCCTGAGAGAGGGGGGGGGGGGGGGGTCAGCTGCAGGTATATAGATAGATATAGGTATGTCATAGTAATGATAATAAGAGGGTCTGACCGGTGTCCGTGTTCCAGACGTAGGCCATGCCGTCCTCGCTGCCTGAGAACAGGAAGCTCCCACAGGGGGTGAAGGTGCTGCAGAGCCTCTCTCGGTAGTTCGTGGCCCCGATGTACCGCTTCACCGCCAGGCTGACCACAGGCATGAGGTAACATCAACATGAGATCAGGTGTACTTTATTGATCTCATTTCTATACACTTCATGTTTCTTTGTTGTCACATTTACACTTTGAGTTGCCCTCCCACCCTCAGTCATAACAAATATAATATTTGCATCTGAAGCAGAAAACCACCAGGTTACATATGAAGTATGATATTTACATGCGCAGGTCCATCATCCGGAGCACGCTGTCTCTGGCGTGGATCAGCAGGCAGCGTCCGTTGGGATGCAGCTGCAGTTTGTTGATGGGGACGCTGAGCAGGTCGCTCTCTGAGATCTCCTGCAGGACACATGCTCAGTTATACTTTATTGAACATATTGAACATATGAACTGTATGAGTTAACCTCCTCTCCTGTACCTTCTCCACAACCCAGCGCTGACTCAGCAGACTCTTCTTTCCTTCACTTCCTGTCGTCTTCCACACCACGATCAGGCCTGAGTTATCAGCAGAGAACATCCTGCGTCCTGATCACAGCACACACACATCAGAAGTTGGCTTTAAATACCAAGAGAATACTATACATATATATACTGTGTACTACATCAACACACAGAGAGAATACTATACATATATATACTGTATACTACATCAACACACAGAGAGAATACTATACATATATATACTGTATACCACATCAACACACAGAGAGAATACTATACATATATATACTGTGTACTACATCAACACACAGAGAGAATACTATACATATATATACTGTATACCACATCAACACACAGAGAGAATACTATACATATATACATATATATACTGTGTACCACATCAACACACAGAGAGAATACTATACATATATATACTGTATACTACATCAACACACAGAGAGAATACTATACATATATATACTGTGTACCACATCAACACACAGAGAGAATACTATACATATATATACTGTGTACTACATCAACACACAGAGAGAATACTATACATATATATACTGTATACCACATCAACACAACACACAGAGAGAATACTATACA